GTGCCTGGCCTTCACTGGATCACATTGGCCTACACCAGAAGGAGTACCTGGCAGGGCTCCACATCCGGGCATCTATCCTCAAAAACTCCCACACAGAGCTTCTCCCAGCCCATGTCACGGCCCCAATGCCCAGAGGATCAGCAGTGTCAGCAGCTCATCACCCTTGCCACCTGTTCTCTTCAACTTCACTCCAGCTGCCCTGAGGCTTTCCATGTTGAGTGAGGTTGGGGGTGTGGCTTATATATCCTGCTTTCTCTTTCTAGAATTCCTAACCTTTCCCCATCTCTTCCATAAGACAGCTCAAGTCCTTTCAGTGGACACTATCTTATTCTTAAGCACTATAGATAAGTAGCCATGAGGATCTTCCAAATGCTTAACTTCTTTCACCATCTTGTTCTTTCTCACCTTTTCCTCATGTCCTCCAGATGTAACCCCTTAAAGTCACTCTTGAGTTTCCAGAACAGAAAGTGACCTATCTCACAAGGAGAGTCTGGGCTTTATCCTTTCCTCTCCAAGTCTTGCAGGCTCTAGCCTGGACCCCAGAGGAGAAGACTTATGGTCTCCCTTACCTGGAAGGAATGTAACTAAGACTTCAGGAGATCAAGAGTGAGAGGAAACTCCCTCTGTCAAGGAGCAGCCTACAGTCCTTGAGATGCTCTTTTTCTTCTGGGGCTTTTAACTATAAGAACTCCAGTACTTGGGTTGCCTTCTCCAAGGTCTTCCCTCACTGAGTTCCATCCTGGCTCTCTTGTGCAGGATTTATCTTCTGAAGACAATCAAGTCTGTTGATATCAGTGGCAGGCTGATGCTTCTTTCCAGTGTGGCAGAAAGGAACTCAGGTTTTAGCTGCACTGGGGGTTGGAGCTTGAGTGGAAGTATAGGGTTTGGGGAGGAGGCTCTGCTTCAGCCCCCAGGCCTTGTTCCCTGTGTCCTTGCTCTCATTAGTCTGGATACTCCCCTCCCCTCAAACTCCACCCTGCCCTTGAAATAGATCAATAACATGTCCCAAGCCCCAGTCAGTCCTGTTATTTGGTTCTTGCCTTACATGGGAAGACTAACAAATGGGCATACAGGCCCCAAGCTAGGCACCTGTGGTATGTCCTAGTTCCTTTATGGTTCTAAATGGGAGAGGGGAGTGATTTTTGCTTTCTTGCCCTTCCTTCTTCCCTTTACCCCTTCCCCCAAGTTCTGGTTCCCTTCTCTGAGAAACCTGACCACATTGGAGAACCAGAGGCTGGAGCAAAAGAATGGGAAAAGGAATAGTAGAAATTGAAAAAATTAGTGTTGGGAGTCCTAGGGGAACAGAGATTGGGAATATTGAGGTAGGGGAGCAGCTTTCTTAGAAGAATAAGACTTTGACTAGATGGCATAACTAGGTAGAAATACCAGATGGAGTTGAAAGCCCTCTAGCTCTCCTGCAGCCATTTCAAACATAATAGTCCTTCTGAGCAGAGGGGAGCTCTGGTGGTGTAGTGCCTGAGGCATTTGATTGCTAACCAGAAGGCTGGCAGTTCAAACCCACCAGCCACTCTTGGAAGGAAGGTTGGGCAACCTACTTCCGTAGAGATGCTGCCTCAGAAACCCAAGAAGGGGTCACTGTGAGTTAGATCCAACTTGACAGCAGTGAGTTTGGTTTGGTTTTTTGGTCTGAGAAGAGGAGCTGGGTGAGGCACCAACTGCAGAGGGAGGAGGGGCTGGATGAATACAATGGATGGTAAATTACTCAGTTGATGTGATGAGAGCAGACAGAGTAGAAAGGATCATTGGAGATGGGCTCTGTAGGGTACCAACCTGCCAATACTAGAGCCATCCTGGCACTGACAAGCCCTGGAGAGACAGGCCAAGGTCAGGGATCAAGGTTGAGGGGGTGGGGCATTCTGTGGGTCCAAGTGAACAGAGGAAAATAAGGGGTTGCTAAGGGAGGGAGATGAGAGCAGTCAGTTAATGGAGAGGAAATAAAAGGGAAAAACCATCATGGGCAGGACACTTCACTGTGGGTTACCATTTATTAGACATTATGTATCACCTCTTTGCTAAGTGTTTTATTTAATCTTCCCTACAACTCAATAAGGTAAGAATGATCTCCATTTTACTTATAAGACACTGTGACCCAGAAAGTTAAAATAGCTTCCAAGGCCACATAGCCAGTAAGTGACAAAGCTAAGATTAAGAGCCAGGATTCAAACCCAGATCTGTCCAATGTTAAAGCCAATTCTCCTGACCACCAGGCTATACTGTTCATGTATAAGAAGGAGAGAACTGACTAGAAGACAGAGATGAGGGAAGATGAAAGAAATGAAGACAAGATGAACCTGGGGGGAATAGAGGGTTAGGGAATAGGCAGAATGAGTGGGAGACTCAGTCTCACGTTTATGGTCAAATACAGGCCATGTATGTGTGGTTTTGTCTCCTATAAAACTCACATCATACTTGGCATTACATGTTCAATGCCACCCCTGCCAGCCTGTGGACTCCTGAGTGTTTATTAACTAAAGACATGAGGGCTTGGGAAGCAAAAGCGATGGGGTCTAGAAGATGACTGGACATAGAGAAGAAAGAGGGAGGGGTATGGGGTGGAGAATGACATTTGAGCTGGAAAAGCCCAAGAGGGAGAAATCTCATGAGGGAAAGGGGAAGATACTTACTGTGTGCCAAGCACTGGAATTGTTCTTTATATACATTATCTCATTTAATCCTATGAGATGGATATTAACCCTATTTTCAAAGGGGAAAAAAATTAAATAACTTACACATGGTGACACAACAATTAAGAGATGAAGTCAGCATTTGAAGCCAAACCTGACTTCAAAGCCTGTGCTGTTTTCTTTATACCCCACTGCCTCTCCTTGCTCCTGAATGTGTCGAATGTGTAGGGGAAGAAGGAAGGAGAAATTCTGACAGCTAGGATGTGAAAATGGGGGAGTATGTAGGAGATTGAAGGATGGATCCTGTGGTAGTTCAGTTTGTGTGTCACCTTGGCTGGTTGAGTGGCTGGGGAGCTGGATGTAGTATTCCACATGATGAGACTGGTAATCAACTCCATGGTGGAATCTACTGTGAGTAGCTGCCTTAGGGAATGTGGTCTGCTTCCTGCATATAAGCAGAAGCTTTGGAGAATGGTCTCTAGCTTATGGCATGCTTGGACCCTGCATGTAGCTATGTTGTTCAGCAGTCTGCCATGCTCTGCCGACCTTGGGATTTACAATGGACTTGAAGTAATGCCCTGCTGTGTGGGTTGGTAACATTCATCGGAACTGTGTCTTTTTACTTGTCAGCCTTGGGTTTGTCAGCCTCAGCAGCCAGCAGCTGAGTGAAGAAAAGCCTCCAACTTCAGTGGGCCGGGAGCAGGAGGCAGAGCTGCAACCCAAGGTTGAGGGGCTTTCACCCAGTCCCTAGAGCCTGGCACTTTGAATTTGGACTTAAAGTCTCCAAACTGTAAGAGAATAAACTCCTGTTTGTTAAGGCCATCCCATTTTTGGTATATTCTTGTCAGAGCGGCACAGGTAACCAGAACAGATACAGACTTGGGAGGTTGCAGTAAAGACACAGCCACATGGGGCTGTGGGAAGGATGAATAAACAATGAGATTGCCGTTAGTAAAGTGAGAGAACAGAAAATAGAAATGTATGAAGGTGGTATATTGGAGAGGAATTGTGCATTCTGCACCTGTTCCAGAAGCCAAACCAAACCAAACGCACTGCCATCAAAGTCGATTCCGACTCACAGCAACCCTTTAGGACAGAGTAGGAGTGCCCCATGGGGTTTCTAAGGCTGTAAATCTGATTTTTTTAAAAAAAATTTGTGGTGGGTGAAAGTTTATAGAGTAAATTCATTTTCTACACAACAGTTCATATACATTTTGTCTCATGACATTGACTGCAATTCCCCACAATGTAACAGCTCTCCTCCTACTTCCTCCCTGTAGTTACCTCTTCCCTGTGTCTGTCTTTCCTGGGCATTCCTGCCCCCTGAGCTATCTCCCTGTGCAAATATTACCCTTCTGTTCTCCCGGGATTGATCATTCTAGGGTTTATATCTGCCTGATGTAAATGTTCACCCTGTAAAAGGCTGTAAATCTTCACAGAAGCAGACTTCCTCATCTTTCTTCCTCCGAGGAGCTGGTGGGTTTGAACCACCGACCTTTTGGTTAGCAGCCAAATGCTTTAACCACTATACCACCAGCTACTCCGCAGCTGTTACTGGCTGTGAAATGGGGTCTTCTGGCTTGGGTTGTTATTTGTATGTAATGGTTCTTAGTGGCCTATACATGTATATGGTTAATCAGAACTTTTCTGTATTTTTCAAAATTTTGAATGCCTTTAGATTGGACATTCTCTCTGACCACTCCTCAGTTCCTTACATCTGCTATGTGACCTGCTTGACCTCTGAAAGTATTTGAGTTTGGAACCGTCTCCTTTTGCAGAGGTGGGATTTCAGACCCATAAGAAACAGACTTGTCTAAGGTCTCACAATAGTGGCCAACTCAAAAACTAAAATCTAGGTGGTCTCCAGACATTCAGGCACCAGAGTAATGGTAGATGAACTCATAGCCACATTCAGAGCTACTTGTTCAAGTATACAGATTAGATCAGTGGAAGTGAAACTTGAAAGGTAACCAAAATCCAGAAAGCTATATTGTGTTAAGATTATGGTAGCTGTGAAGTATGCATTTTTAAAACAAAATGGGCTCACCCAAGGTTTATAGCTGAAAGAACGAGCAAAGTGGCCTAAGTTTGAACTTTTAAGAGCTTGCTTTATTTATTAAACTCAATCAGGATTCTCTCCTCTCACATTGTCCGTTCTTCTACCTCACTGCCCACCCTTCCCCCCTTACATCAATACCGCATATCCCACTCGGGCCACAAGGCGGCACTCTTGTTTTCACCATTGTTTTATAGATTGTTTCTCATTTAGCAAAGGGTAGACATGAGTGAAAAGGTGAGAATGGAAGGACTGTTTTAAGTCCTGGGTAAGTAGCTAAAGCCAGTGTGGTTTGGAAAGGAAGTTCAAGGCTGTAGAGGCTCAAGAAGGTTAGGTTAGCAGGCATAGCAAGAGTGGAAGGACTGCTTTGGATGCCGTCATAGTCTCTCCACATAAAAAGCTTTGCCCATCTGTTTTAGCTCCTGCTGGTACTGCTGATGCTCCTTTTCAAACAGCTGGTGAAGGGCAGCCTGACGGACCTGGTGGGGAGGACAGAATAGAGTGTGGTGTTTGCCTTCTGTTTTCTACCTTTTCTCATCCTCTCTCCCTGGTGGCTTTCCCATCACTTGTGTTACATTGGACCTGCACTGAGCTGTGGCAGAAAGCTAGGCAGTACAGAGAGGGTGAACAAATGGAGAGGAAGCATAACCAACCTTTTCTCCATGGGCAAAGCCCCATGTTCAGCAAACATTTGCTGAGAACATACCATAAACCAGGAACTCTGCTAGATACCAGGGATACAAAGATGTGACATGACAGCAACTGGGGACGTTCGGGAGAAGGGTACCAAGAGACATGTTGAACACTAAGAGGAAGTTTTGAGTCTCAGATGAGAGGAGCCAACACTAGAATGTATTTTGGACTTTAAAATATATCACCTGCAGCTGGATGCAAATAATCACTTAATGAAAAATAATTTTGGCATTTGGAGTTAGAGTTGCTGCTGTGTTGTAAAAGTGAAAACCTCAGAGACAAATGAGGTGGATAAGTGAGAGCAGAGGTCAAGAACTTGGAAATCACAGTGGGCAAAGACATTGGAATGTAATGGTTGCCCTTGCTGGAACTTACCATCAGTAGTTGTTTGTTGGCTAGTGCCAACTCCTGCACCATGGTATCCTGCATCCTTAAAGTGGCATATGGGTTTCTCCTTTGGTTCAATGTCATCTGCCACAGACAGTGAGTATGTGAATCTTGCCACCTGCCCCAAGTGTAGAGGTGGGGGTGAATGGGTTAGAGTTAAGGATGGAGACAAAAGACCCATTAGTGAAGCTTCTTCTTCATCCAGAACCTCTGTGCCAGTGTTAGAAGATTGCAAAATCCTTTTGGAAGGGTGGGTAGCTAGAACTGATTTAGAACCTTGGTTTTTGAGATGCCATCAAGCCTATTCCAACTCATGGTAACCCCATGTGGGCATAGTACAACTGCTCCATACCATTTTCAGGGCTAACTTAGTATGTATTAAGTACATTATTTCATTTAATCATCACCTATGTGATGTAGGTATTAATTTTCACATTATACAGATAAGAAAATTAAAAGTTCCTGTGAGTTGTCCAAAATTTAATGGCAGACCTGGGTCTCATATCCAATCTCTGACCCAAAGGCTAATATTCCTTCCATTATATCACTGTTTCTCAACCCTGGCTAGGTACTAGAACAATTCATTAAGGTTTTTTAAGGAATAAAAAAAGGAGTTTTTTTGTGTATGTGTGTGATTTGGGTGAAAGTTTACAGAGCAAATTCACTTTCCATACAGCAGCTCACATACACTTTGTCTCATGACATTGACTGCAATTTCCCACAATGCAACAGCTCCCCTCCCACTTCCTCCCTGTACCTCTTCCCTGTGTCCTTCCCTCCCATGCACTCCTGCCCCCTGAGCTGTCTCCCTGTGCATACACAGCCCTTCTGTTCTACCATGATTGATGTCTCCAAGGAGTGCGTCTACCTAATGTAAATGTTCAGCTCATATGCCTGTCTTGTTTGGCTGGAAGACCCAGGAGTGGGTTTAGTTCCAGACCTGAAGGGCAGCTAAGGGCCATAGTCACAGTGGTTCCACCAGGTTCTATCAGACCAGCAAACCTGGTCCCTAAAAAATAAAAAAAGGATTTTAATACACAAAACATATACCCCTTTTATGTATTAAAAAATTCATTTTTAAATTTTTGAAAAAAATTATACACACACACACACACACACACACATTTCCTGCTTACTCATTGCCGTTGAGTTGGATCTGACTCAGCAACCCATTTCCGAGGCAGCATCACTATGGAAGTAGATTGCCCAACCTTCCTTCTGAGGACTGGCTGGTGGGTTTGAACTGCCAGCCTTCTGGTTAGAAGTCAAGTGCCTCAGGCACTACACTGCACCACCAGAGCTCCTATATATATATATATATATATATATATATATAAAATCGAGTTATAGTGACCCATAGGGTTTCCAAGGCTGTAAATCTTTACACAAGTATATTGCCCTATCTTCCTCCTGCAGAGTGGCTGATTGGTTTCAACCACTGACCTTCTTGTTAGCAGCCAAATGCCTCACCCACCGCATCATCAGAGCTCCCTATATACACCAAATATGCATATGTATACAATGTATATGTGTATCTCTACTGCTCATGATAGACCCTGTTGATCTTTTTTTTTTAAAATGTATTTTTGATGCTGAGTAGAAAATTAAATCCACACAAATTAAAAGTAAAAGCTTCTGCCCTAACACTGCCTAACAAAGTTATCCACGTTTTTTTTGTGTAGTCTTTCAGAAATTTTTCTGTTATATACTAGGAGCTCTGGTAGCATAGTGCCTAAGGCACCTGACTGCTAACCAGAAGGCTGGCAGTTCAAACCCACCAGCCACTCCTCGGAAGGAAGGTTGGACAATCTACTTCCGTAGTGATACTGCCTTGGAAACCCAAGGAGGGGTTGCTGAGTTGAGTCCAACTCAATGGCACACAACAACATACTAGTAAGAATATAAGGTGCTCTGGAGGTGCAGTGCATAAGCCATCTGACTGCTAACCGGAGGTTGGTGGTTCAAACCCAACAGCTGCTCCATGGGAGGAAGTTTAGGCAATCTACTTCCATAAAGATTTACAGCTTTGGAAACCCAATGGGGTCATTATGAGTTGGAATTGACTTGATGGCAGTGGGTTTGGTTTGGTTTGAAGTGTATTGTTAAGGAGTCCTGGTGGTTGCCCAACATTCCAAGGAGTGGCTGGTGGGTTTGAACTGCCAGCCTTCTGGTCAGCAGTCAAGTGCCTTAGGCACTATGCTACCAGAGCTCATAGTATATAATAGAAAAATTTCTGAAAGACTACAAAAAAAAACGTGGATAACTTTGTTAGGAAGTGTTAGGGCAGACACTTTTTTCATTTGTGTGAAATTAAAAGCATGAGGCTCTGTAACCTATAGGTAGGAGGTTTGAACCTACAAGCTGTCCTGTGGAAGAAGGAAGAGGTCTGCTTCTGTAGATATAGTCTTAGAAACCTTAAGTGACAATTCTGTTCTAATAGGGTTGCTATGGTAGTGGATTTCTTTCAGTGTATCTTTTTTTTAACATGAGATCATATATTTACATAAGCAGTGTCACTTAACAATTTGTACGTTTTACATCAGCACATAGAAATTTGCTTCATTCTCTTTAAAAGCTGCATAGTATTTTTGTATCATAATTTTTACCAGCTAGGCTATTTTTAGCTTTTTTACTTTTATAGACAATGCCATCATGAACACCTATGCATATGTATTTTCTAGTACTTTTGCAAGTGTATTTATGTAGCATAAATTCTTAGGAGTTGCCAATTTTAAGGATGTGTGAATTTTAAATTTTGATAGATTTCATCAAACTGTCTTTCTGAAAAAGGTTGCTTTACCCTTGTTGTACGCCCTAGAGTTGATTCTGACTCGTGAGCCTGCAGGATAGAGCAGAACTTCCCCATAGGGTTTCCAAGGCTGTAATCTTTACAGTAGATTACCAGATCTTTTCTCTCCATAGAACACCAGTTCTAATGGGTTTGAACCATTGACCTTTTTTGGAGCAGCCAAGCACTTAGCTATTGTTCCACTAGGGCTCTTTGCTTCAACCTAAACTTCTAATAAAATTATGTATTCCTTTCTCCTCACATCCTTGCTAGCTCTGGATACGGGAACCTATAAAACCTTAAGAAGTATGGATTCCTCTATCCCATCCCAGCCATTTTAATCAGAATCTCCAGTTAAGACTTGGAAATCAGTGCTGTTGGAAAAACTCTCCAGGTGAAACAGATGCAGCCCAGTCTTTTGACAGTCTTATTTACTCACTCAATACCTACTGCACACTTACATAAATAGAATGCCAGGCAACAAATACTTGAACTGTCAAAAAACCAAAAAAAGAACCATCACAACAAAAATTTTGCTTCACTTTTCCTTAGAGTTGGGAAGCAGGGGGCCTTGAAAACCAGTCTGCATAGCCTAACCTAGTGGGGACTAGGAGGCTGATAGCTGCTTGCTATAACTCTGGCTGTTCTTATTCTTGTACAGAGGTGTTAAGAAGTGGCTCAGGGAGGACAGGAGAGTGAACCCAGTGAACCCTTAAGGGCAAGGGGAGGAGAGAAAAGCAGAGGTTACCTGTCAACCATCTTCTTAAGTCCCATGGCCCTTTGAAAACTCTGCAAGAAAAGGGAGTTCTGTTGATCTGCCTTATCTTCAGAACCTCATCTTCAGTACCTTACTGTGGTCAGAGACAGAGACCTTTCTTTCAGAGAGGGAGTAGTCCATTTCCTTCCAGAGGTAGGGTCAAATTAAACATGCAGGCATTGGGATGGAACAAATATTCAAGTACCCATTGTGTGCAGTTTCCCACTCCCATTAACTACCCTTCTGTTACATCAAGAGTCCCCTCCCATGAAATGATCTACTTCTGGTAAAATGATTTGGAAACATCAAAGGAAACTCCTTCAACCCAGCCCCTCCTTTGAATTCTGCATACCTCTTCTACTCTTGTCATCTTTTCCATAGACATGGCTACAGACTTGCTTGGTATGGTCCTAGGAGACTGGCAGGCTTTCTCTTCTGTTTAGTTTAGTCACCAAGGTTTCAGTAGTCATAGCAACATTCAGTCTCCAACAATGACCCTAGGCCTAGGAGTTGGTTGGTCACCTGGTATTGCCTCGGAGATCTGAAGGGAATCCTGGTTCTGTAGCCGCCTATTAGTGACAGGCAACTCTGTGAGCAAGGGCCACAGTCCTTATTTCAGGATTTCTTCTGTTGGGGCCCTAAGAGCATCTGTATGGTTCTAGGTCCAGGGTATTCATGGTTCCACCAATTTTCTTAGGCAAATACAGAAAATATACCATATGCTTATTTTATTGAAAGACAACTATAAAAGAATGAATCATACATTTTAATAGTTCATTTTATTAAATAACCAATTTATAAAGTCAGACCAGTGCATTGGCTTGTTAAGAGGGAAACATTCCTTCCCATTATCCCATAGTATCCCCAATAAAGGAGGGGGGATGGGATTATGCCAGGTGTCAGAACAGTTTCTTTTACTCAACTTATTCACAACAGTATGTAATGAAAATGGAAGGGCAGATCCTTGCACTTCCAGAAAATCTGTTAATGTTTCAACACACCTTCGTTTAAATAGACCACAAGGGTAAGTTGTTTCACATACCACCCACTGCCATACCCTACCTTCACCACCAGCTCCTGTCTGCCTTTCCCACCAATCACCTGAGATGCTCACAGTTCTCATTTAACTGTATGTAACAAAAGGGTAGATAACGGAAGCAACAAGCCCCCTCATCTCAGCTCTAACGTTTGGGATTAAATACTCTGGAACAGGGCAATGAACTATGATCAAAACCAAGTGAGGATCTTTCCGGAAGGCTGGACAGAAACACTAATAATTGAACTCAAAAAAAGTACTGGGAAAGAACAGTTTTCAGCTGTTAATTCGGAAACGTCCCATAAGAAAGGGCCTCCATGAGTGAGCTCAGCCAATAGAGTCTGGGCCTGCAGAGCCAGATAACCTGAGGATTGCCCAGCATGCATACTGTACTCTGTCTGGCTCAGTCTACAGCGAGAGTCCTTCAGGTCCATCACAGAGTACTCTCCAATGTATTATAGTTGTCCTTAAAGCTCTTCAATTCGAGGAAGTGCTTGGCACGTTTACTCTTCTGATTGGATGGGAGGTATGTCACCTGGATGGTTGTTGGGGAGACTTCAGGAGACTGGGTAAGGTCTTTGGCTGCTGACTGGTGGTGTCGCTGAGAACTCCCACTTCGTGCTTTGACCCTGAAGAATACAAAGGGCAGGTCACTGACAGCATGAGGAATAAAGAAAGCAAACAATTCAGGACTCATCCCATTCTGTAAATGTAGCCATAGCCACAAATGGTCTCTGTCCTTTCTTGAAAACTAGTTACTAAAATCCCATCTAGTGTTTTAGAAACAGCCGAGAAATGAATTTTCCACTGAGTCTCTGCCTCTCACTCAACCTTTTCCTCATCTTACTACATGTAGAAAAACTTTTAACTGCCAATTCACCTAATTTAGGTAAGTAGCTAATAGGCCCCCAGTTCAAAGACAGTCTTTTAAAAATTCAATACCAAAAAATAAGAATAGCAGCAGTATTGGGTACTTAAAACATATTAAAACATTAGACTTGGTATTTACCAATATTAGAAAAACCTTACATGGAGTCGTATCATCCGTCTTTCAGTATTTAGTAAGTAACCTGCCTAAGGTCACAAAGCTAGTTAACTGACAGAGAGCTAAGATTCAAACCTAATTTTGTCAGATTTCAAACCCTTTACTCTTTTCACTATAACCACTGAGCCTTTTTTAGAAACTAGAAATCAGAGGCTGAATTTTGAACAGGTCACCTGTCTTAATTCTTAACCAAATGTCCTTTTAATCACTGTTCTAAGTACGTTTTTAGTAGGAACTTTTGTGTTTAAGAATAAGGTAAGTTAATTCTTAGGACAAAGGGAAGACAGTATAGACATACCCTCTTATCTCTTGAAAAAGAACCATAATTCAACACAGAAAAGATACTCTTTTATGACTAATAATATTTTATTCTAGATTACCTTCCCCTCTACACTGATCACTTTCATTTTAACATTTGGATAATTAACCTAATTATGCTTAACCAAAAAAACCAAACCTGGTGCTGTTAATTCCGACTCATGACAACCCTATGTGTAACAGAGCAGTACTTCACATGGTTTTTAAAGAAATCCCAAACCAACGTCATGATTCCTCTCCTGTAACACTTATACCCAACAGCTCATTCTATACTGTTTTGGACAGGGTTATTAATACTGTAAGTGGTAATAAAAAAGGGTGGCACTTACCTGTTACTTTTATTGGACTAAGGCACAAAAGGAAGACCCCTAAAACTCTGGAAAAGGAGGAATCCCTGTGTACTAAAATCTTTATTCCCTTTGCTACGTCATACCAATTTTGACATTTTACTTGGCTGGGGGGAAAAAAAGAGAGATGCACAAAAGTCCAGTAGCTTATACAGTATTATCCGCTTTCAATGTGAGCAAGAAGCAATTCTAATAGTCTAAGGACTTGACGACTCTTATAGTATCATAGATTTTTATTCATTTTTTATAGAGGTCATCTCACTGTGGGAACAATCTGGAACTACTGTATCTTCTAACAAAATGGAGCCAACCTGCCAATCCTCATTGACATGTTCCCCTCCCAACTCACGCAGTGGCCAGCTCAGTCAGGGCCTCCTGATAGTGTAAGTACTCACTCTGGCCAAAAACCTGAGGAAAGAAGAAGGAAGAAAGGATCTTTCAGTCTAGGGTACCCTTTTAGTTCCTTGAAAGTGTAAGTGGCCAAACAGCTTACCCCTGTCCCGTAGCGGGCTGTCTCGTAACCATCCAGCAGACTATCGATGAGGGCCTTGCGCACACCCTTGAAAGGAGTACTAGTGTTTCGAAGATCTAGCAGGTAGGAGCGAAAGTTCTTGCCCATCAGGGATCTGGGATGCCGGCCTTCAGCATGAAATGGGATCTCTGAGGAGATAACAGCATAATGATACCCTTTCTAGTTAACTTCCTAAACTTAGAAATAAGTCCAATGTAAGTTGAGGGAAGAGGGGAATTCTAATAGAATTAAGACCAGAGGTATAAAGCTGTGTATTATTGGGGGAGGCAACACAACTGTAAGCTATACCAATAATACATCATCCTGTTTACCCCCCTACTTACTTACCCATCCTGATATTAAGGCATAGATTCTATTTTGGTAGAAAGACAGTGTATATGACAAGTACTCACAGAATGAAAAAAATTCAAGAACCATCTAACCTGATAGTGAAAAACTAGATGTTGCTTTTTTAAAAAAATTTTTGAAAAATAGTACATATACACGATGTTTTTCATACATTCAATTCAATAACATTAATTATGTTTATCATGTTGCTCAGGCCACCTATTTTTTGTGGAAAACAAACTATTACCATATAGCTCATGAAACTAAATGTCTCAAGAAAAAAGAACATTAAAAAAAAAAAAAAAGCCATTCTTTAAAGAAGAAAAACTTGCTTATATCATTAGGCAAAAGAGTAACCTAGTACTCTCTAAACTCTAGGTAATTCATGTTAGCAAGGGGATGTGCAGAAAGGGTAAATTCTAACAGAAATAAAGTAGGTTCATGACTCTTTTCCTCAGATGAGTTTCCAGGATCCTGGAATGGATCATGATGGATGGTCCTTACCAGAGGCACGGATGGCATCCAGTGCTTTCATCCTGTACAGATAGTTGTAGCAATCTGCTGAGAAAGAGTCTGATGTCAGACATAACTCTCAAAAGCTCTCCTAAACTCCAGCAAGCTAATAAATTGCCTTCCCCCATCAGATATACCCAATGTGGAGTTAAGTATTGTGTCAACTTGGCTGGGCCTGGTTGAGTGGCTGGGCAGCTGGATGTAGTATTCCCCACGATGAGACTGGTAATCAACTCCATGGTGGAATCTACTGGAGCAGCTGAATTGCTGCCTTAGGGATGTGGTCTGCTTCCAGTACGTAAGATAACTTTGAGAAAAGTTTCTGAGCTTTTTGGCACGCTTGGACCCTGCATGTAACCTAGTCTTTATTCAGCAGCCTACCATATTTCCTGCTGATCTTTTTTTAAATTGTGATTTGGGTGAAAATTTAGAGGAAATTCACTTTCCATACAGAAGTTCACATATGCTTTGTCTTATGACAATGACCACAATTCACCGCAATGCAAGAGCTCCCCTCCCACTTCCTCTCGACAGTCACCTCTTCCCTGTGTCCATCCCTCCATGCACCCCTGCCCCGAGCTGTCTTCCTGTGCATAAGCAGCCCTTCTTTCTCCCATGATTATTCTCTCCAAACAGTGTATCTACCTGAGGTAAATGTTCAACTCCTATGACTCTCTTTTGCTTGGCTGAAAGCCATAAGTGTGGGTTCAATTCCAGACCTGAAGGGGCAACTAGGGGCCATGGTCTCAGTGGTTCCACCAGGCTCTATCAGAACAGCAAACCTGGTCCCTCTCTTTTTTCTTCCAAATGATTTTGAGTTTTATTCCACATTGTTCTCCCTCTATCCGGGATTTCCTACACAGATCCCCCTCCAAGTGACTGACAGTGTTAGCCAGTTTCCTGCTGATCTTAGGACTGTCTCTGGACTTGAACCAGTAGCCTGCCATGTTTGGTAATCTTGGGACTGTGCCATTTTATTTGTCACCCTTGGGTTTGTCAGCCTCAGCAGCCAGCAGCTGCCTGACTGAAGAGACACCGCCAGTTCCAGTGGGCCAGGAACAAGAGGCACAGCTGAGCCTAAGGTCAAGGGACCTTCACCCAGCCCTTAGAGCTGGCACTTTGAACTCGGACTTCTGACCTCCCAAACTGTGAGAATAAACTCCTGTATGTTCAAGCCACCCAGTCGTGGTATTTTCTGTTAAAGCAACACAAGAAAACAAAAACACCCAATAATAGAAAAGCCACAGCTGCTGCTTTTGCCAGCAACTATATTGACAACTTTAAAAGCAAAGGAATTCAGAACTTGTAGGATTCCTCTCTG